GTGGCCTAAATTTTCCTTTGGAATTAACGAAACATCTTGTGAAAGCTCTCATTTCTCCACCAAAAAGCATAACAAAAGGGGACTTTTGAGTTGATGAATTTGGAGCCATCCGATAGGCCATCATGATGCCTGGAAGCAACCGGGGCCAATTATTTTGAGTTTTGTTACAATAGGCTCTTAGTGATTGATTGATGTAGGAATTGAGCCTTTCTACACAGCTATTTGTTTGGGGATGCTATGGGCTAGTATGAGTGAATTTGATGGCCAAAAGTTCACAAATAGCCTTGATTAATTTGGACATGAAGTTCTGACCTCTGTCTGAAATTAAGGTCCTTGAGCGCCATACCGGCAAAATATTTCTCACGAGAACATCTGCTACCTCTGTGGCTTCTTGGGTTCTGAGGGGAAAGGCTTCACACCATCTAGATGCTGCATCAGTGATGACCAAAATGTGTTTGTACTTATCTGGTGTTGTTGGCAAAGGAGAAGGGTGTCAACATGCCATCGGGTGAAGACTTCTTGAACAGGTAGTGGACATAGAGTTGCCTTTTTGCTGTGGTAGTGCCTCTTGGTCTGTTGACATACCTCACATGTCTGGATATATGTCGCAATTTCGGTGTACATCTTGGGCCAGTAGTATTTTGGTCTCATGGTGTTGTGCATCCTTTCTTTTCCATGGTGGCAACTGCCAAACTCGGAATCGTGGTAGGATCTCAGGACCTGATTCCTGAGAGTTCTTGAACTGCCAGCTGTTTAATGAATTTGTCCGCATGGCCCTTCTGTCTCTGTGGGACAAATATGTATAAAATTCCTTCATCGATTTCAAAGGTAGTGGCTTCAATAAGAACCTTTTGGCGATCCTTTTCATTTTCTGTAAGGACATCATCTTCTTTGTAGTCAAAAATCTGTGTGAAATCTGGACAAATCCTTTGTAGATGACGTAAGTTGGGATGTGCATTAATATTTACCTGAACCATTGTGGCTTGTGTGACATCGTCACTTGTAGCGTGTAATGCTGCAACAACGTTTGCTGGTACTGTTTGGTAGTCCGCTTCATATTCAAAGGTGACAGACAAATGAGTTGTCTGTGTTGTTATGTCACTTGTTATGCAATCATCCTCAGTCTGAATTGATTGGGTGACGTGTTAGGATAGTTGTGGGCTTGTTGAAATGTTAGTATGGCTTCTTTTCCCAAGTGAAGTTACTGTAAAGATGGTTTTCTCAGCATCTTCTTCTGTTTGATTCTGACAGTTAATATTTTGCTCATATTCCCTGCGTGAGAGCGCATCGGCATTCCCGTTGTCTTTGCCGCTGCGATGAACGATATCAAAAGTATAGGTAGCCAGTTCTAATGACCATCGCCCTAACCTACCTGTGGCATCCTTGATGGATTTGAGCCACTTCAATGCGATGTGGTCTGTGTAGACAGTGAATTGGGAATTTGCAAGGTATGGACGAAATGATCTAATGGCTTCAACTAAAGCTAAACCTTCTTTTTCTGTGATGCTCCAGTTCTTCTCGCTGCGGTGAAGAGCTCTGCCTCCAAAAGCTATAGGGTGTTCATTATTCTTCTTGTCTTTTTGACTTAAGACATACCCTATGCTCATATCGCTGGCATCAGTTGCGAGAAAAAATTCTTTGTCAAAGTCTGGATAAGCCAGAACGGGTGTGTTACACATAGCATGTTTGAGTGTGTTGAAAGCCTGATCAGACTCAAGTGACCACTGGAACTTTGGTTTCTTACCAGTTTCTGCCTCTGAATGCTTTTTTAACAATGCATTCAATGGCAGTGCTATTTTAGCATAATCTTTCACATATTTTCTGTAAAAGTTTGTGAGGCCTAAAAATAAACGAACCTGTTTTTGTGATTTGGGTATTGGGAAGGTTTTAATTGCTTCGACCTTTTTGTCATCAACTTGGGAAGGTTTTAATTGCTTCGACGTTTTTGTCATCAACTTGAACACCTCCGCAGGATAAAACATGACCAAGAAATGAAACCTTGTCTGTTGCAAAATGGCATTTTGATGGCTTAGTGTTAATTTTGCCTGTTTGAGATAGTAGAAGACTTGCTCCAAATGTTGGAGATGTTCTTCAAAGTTTTTGCTGTAGATTATCAAATCATCAATGTAAATCAACGCAACTTTGAAAAGCAATTTTCTTAGCACTTTGCTCATGAGTTGCTGAAAACAAAGTGGAGAATTAGACAAACCCTGGGGCAAACGTTTGAATTGATAAAGGCCTTGATGGGTGACAAAAAAGCAGTTTTATGCTTTGAGTCTTCGATGTAATGGCACTTGGAAGAAGCCATTGGCAAGATCTAAAGTGGAGAAAAATTTGTAGCTTGGCCATTGCCCGATGTGATCAACAACATCGTCAAAAACAGGGAGTGGCCATGACATTGGTAATGTGACAGAATTTAATTTTCTGCAGTCACAAAACAAATCTATATGAGGCAAATCACGTTTCTTAATTAAGATGATGGGGGCTGAATACATTGAAGTGGACTCCTCAATTAAATCATATTTGAGAAAATCTTCTACAAGTTCTTCAGTGGCTTTTTGGAGATGAGGAGACTGGACGATAAGGCCTACACTTAACAGGGGATGGTTGCCCGTGGTCAATTACATGCTCGTGCATGCCAGGTTTTACTAAATCTGCAAGGCTTGTTGAAAACATGTCTCTATTTTGTCCTAAAAGCTGAGTAGTCTTTGTTGTTGGTCAGGCGTCAGTTGAGTCTTGGTCAAGTCGAATCCTAAATCTTGAGCAGTTTTGACATAATCCCTAGTGTCATTGTCTGACTTTTTCTTAACGCCATTGTTAACTGTATTTATGAAAGGTTGGTTGCAGTCAATTTCAAAGATAGAGTGGTTGTCAATGTGACTAAATTTGCCTACAACTGTACCCTTGTCTAAAACCTTTCTTCTTGGGAAGGATTCATAAGCCTAAAAGTAGCAGTTTTCCTGTGCTTTGAGAGGGGTCCTACCACCACGCTACTTCAGAATGAGCAGGTGAGGGAGGCAATTGGTTCAATGAGGATGAGGGAATCATCTTTGCCTCAGGCAGTTTTACCTTATAATGAATTTCCACCTGAGGGGCATATAAATTTGATCTATTGCTTTGGTTATCCACAAATTTCTTGAACTGAAGTGGCAAAATGAAAGTGATGTATTGCCCTATCTGAGGTGCTGTTGCCTATTATGAGGGAATGGCAGCTATAATCTAAGACTGCATCGTTGTCATTGAGGAAGTTTCACCTAGTAGGACTGACTGTGGTAATGAGGGCAGGACATAGAATTGTTGTGCAAATTCCTGATCTTCAATGACAAAATCTAACACAACTGAACCCAACACTTTGTGCAATTCAGCCAACACCCTTGAATGTGGGGAAAAGGGTGAGTTTCAAGTACAGGGTTGTTGAAAGCTTTGTTTAGAAAAGCAAACAGAAATGCAGCAAAATGGATGCCCTGTATCTATTAAACAAGTTGTTGTTTCAGTGCCAAATGTTACCTGAATTACACTTTTGGCAAGGGGCGTAACTAAGGACACAGTTGGAATTTCACTTGCAAAGTTACTTTCCATACCAGACTCCATATTGGCCATGACACCTTATAGTATGTACCGTACTATAATTAAGAAAGACAAGAAATCAACAATGTAAAAGTAGTACTTACAATTTTTGAAGACTTTTCTTCCTTGGTTGGTAACTTTAAGAGTTGGTGGTCCTTAATCCAGTGCTGAGATCAGAGGTTGATGCAGTCGCTTGTTATTCCATATGTTCTTGTTACTGGTTGTGGTTAGTTCCTGGGCTCCGAGGTTCGAAAATCGTTGATTCTCCACCAACTATTATGATACAGGTCTTAGGTCGAAGTCAGGGTTCTGGTGAAACCCCTTATCTATCTGGCGTGCTGGTCCATTTGGGGGAATTAGCTCAGCAAAGAGTCCAAAGTCACAAGAAGCTAATTACAATTTTATTAACAAGAACAAAAAAATAACATGGGTTGGCCACAGAGAGAGTCGGTACAACCCTCTTGGGCTGAGGGTTAGAGATGACCTGTGTTGGGAGTCTAAACCCTACTGACAAACAAATGTAGTTGGTGACTATTTATCTAAAATTGAAACAATAAAAAGATTATGATTCGTTGAATGATACAAAATGGGTGTTCCCTATACTAACCAATGAAATACAGAATATGCGGTATGGGGTGTGTCCTACAAATGAAATGACCAGACAGGGGGATTACTTAATCCTGCTAATCCTATTTCATCTGGCACTAATTGTGTTGACACATGTCCTGGAAGCTTCCTAATTTAACTGGCACTAATTGTGCTGACATGTTGCTTGGATAGTTATAGTGTTACAATAGATGGCTTAATGACCCTAATTTAAAGTGTTTGCACAATATATTTTAATGGAGGTGATGACATATTTACTTTATCAAAGCAGTTCATTAAATCGTCTAGACATTACTTTGTCTTACTGAAAGGTTTGAGTCCTTGAAACCTTAGGCTAGGATTTATCTTGAACATCTGTGATATTGTAACTTATACCTTTTTCAATAGTATGTCTGTGAGATGAGTTTACTACTCTTGACTGGAGTCTTTCTCTAAGCTATTACAGATACATGATGAAACTAATATTCTATATTTATATTTTCCTAATATCTGAATCCTAATATATCGCTTGTAGAGGTTATAATTAATAATGAATTTTCGTATGAATTATTATTCCATGATAATTGCAAGGAGGGCTTAGCAGGAGGTGAGGTGAGGTGAGGTGAGGTGAGGTGAAATTGGGTTTACCGTTGTACTTAAAAATATTTCACTCATATGAAGACGTGCATGTGTGTGTATGTGTGTGGCTGCTTGTAGGTTTTATAGTGCTAGCTCACTGAGCTCACTCTCCGGGTGGACGCTCTAACCACTACACCACGGAGGCAGCCTAGGCAGAAGGGAAAATAATGTGGTTGAGGGACTGTGAGAGAGACTACCTCGACACGTACCTTGGTAAGAGAGCTACCACACAGCTGATGATGACGACACAGGAGTGGATGGGCGTGGATATCGTATTCTCCATCACCCAGTAGGGGTTTGAAGGATGGTCCCATGTGAAAAAGATGGCATTAGAGACGACCGCAATCACCCAGAAGGAGAGGAAGGTCATGATGAGGATAAGCCTCTGGATCCAGATCTGAATAAATAACAATGATTATAATAAATATAGTTGCAAGCAATGGTGCAGGCTCCTTGGCTTTAGTTCTATCTATTGTATTTAAGGGCTAGAAATCATCGTCCAAAACGGAGCCAGAACACGTTTTTGAAAGGCGAGTGGATCTTCAGATACAACCGGGCTCACGGGGGTCATGCGCTTTTTAAGAAGTTCCGGAGAAGAAATAGTTCCCTCTTTAAAAGGCTGTATCTCAGTTGTTCTTGGGTCTACGGTCAAAACAATTAGTATTCTGGAATCACCAAGACGTCATCTACCATTGTGCAGAATTTGCACAATGGTTACTGGACATCAGTTATGGAAAGTTTCGAATGTATAGAGCTGATGGTTCGAGCTCAGCACTTTTTGGGAGCAAACTACTCAGAAAACTGCTGAAAAACATGACCAAAAACTGTAAACAAAAATAACTGCCAAACGGTACATTTTAGCGACTTGACCCGTACAGGCAAAATTGTTGGGAATTCCATTGTGTATCTGTACAAGAGATTTGGAAGTGTTGGAACAATTAGTTCTTGAGATATTTGCTGTCAAACTTTGAAATTTTGGAATTAATTTTGAATTATCTCCCCTCGCTATTGGGCCTAGAGCCAAGAGATTTTTAAGGGGAATATCTTCACCTCGGCGGGCATCAATGTGATTTTTTGTAAGCGATTCGAAGCATTGGTTTAGGAGGTATGTTTGGTACAAAAATCGGCGGAATAATAAATAATAATAATAATCATCATCCGAACGATTACGATAGAACTCCTGCCTAGAGGCAAGGAGCCCTAGAAATACTAACAATTATTATTATATATTATTATTATATGATATTTCTATAGCGCACATATCCAGGCAACTATAGTGCTTGCTCAAGGCGCTGGTATTGTTTCCCTCGATCATTGGATGTCAGTCTCAACGGCACATGTGTTATCAATCTCAACTCCCTGGGGATCATACAACTCTTGCAGCCATTAGGCGCACCGAGTTATTGTGGCATTCTCATCCTAACGAGGTACCCATTCACAGCTGGGTGGACTGGGACACATAGTCACAGTACTTTGTCCAAGTTTACTGCACGTTGCTGTACCCGCAACTTGGTTTTTTGCACGTATTCACGTGGCCACCATCCGGTCATATACCAACGGATTCGTGGGTTCTTTTTAAGTGCACAGGGACGTGTACTGTACACTAGGGGTTGTGACAACACTGAATGAGTCTGCACACAAAGTTGACTCCGAGGTTTTTACACCCGGTCACAGGTGGGCTCGATCCCGACACCTCAAGCTCGCTGGATCACTAGCCTGGCATCTTAGCAAGCTCGCCCACCACTGCTACCAATAACTTGTTATTTAAGATATGTTGAATCCCCAGCATGTTCTTAATGTAATGACTCACTTGAAACCATTGTACATGTTTTATATACCTGTCAATATGCTAAATCTTATGGAGACAACTTTTAGTATGGCTTGCAAAGAATACTGAAGGAAACATCAAATTCAATGAAGAGAATATATTATTTGGATTTAAGGGTATGCATAATAACCCTTTGAATGCAATCATTCTTATAACAATATCTATGCTTTACAGATGTACTATTAAGAAAATCAAACCAATTGCAAACCTTTACAACAAGAAATATATAGATATTATCAAACAACAAAATTCACAGCATTCTCAGACTGTAAAACAAGCAAGCTTTCATGCCTTTTGGTCGTCTCTACATATGCTTTTCAGCAACCCTGTGTGATGTTTTAGATATAGCATTTAAATAAAAACATAATCTTGTGTACATCCATATGCACATATATATGCACATGTATGTATTGTTGTTTTGAAATGGATGGAAGTGTAACCCAAAAGTGGAAATTAAAAATATATATAAAAAAAACCAATACTGCCACCAGGACTACTGATGTGTACATACTGACTGACTGACTGAGTTTTGGTTTTACGCCGCTTTTAGCAATATTCCAGCAACATCACAGCAGGGGACACCAGAAGTGGACTTCACACATTGTGCCCATGTGGGGATTCGAACCCGGTTTAACGCTTTAACCATTAGGCTACCCCACCGCCCCGATGTGTACATACACCATGCTAGAATCCATACATAAGATGGATGCCCCAAGTGCTAACTTTATTACCCTGTCAATGGGTGACTCATGAATATATGGGTGAAAATGGATCTTCAGTAACCCATCCTTGTCGTTTAAGGCGACTAACCCCAATTTTCTTCATTAGTGAGGCGCTTATTTTGGTACTAAACAGTAGTAAAAATAAGATTTTGGTGGGTTTGTCATTTAACGCTGCACTCAGCAATATTCCAGCGATATGGCGCCAGTCTGTAAATGATCGAGTCTGGACAGACAATCCAGTGATCAACAGCAGTTGGGATACCATCACATCTGTCAACCAAGTCTGCGAGCCTGACCACCCGTCGCCTCTTACGACAAGCATGGGTTACTGAAGATCAATTCGAACCTGATCTTCATGGGTTAGTAAAAATAAGAACACTCGCCATAACACCATCTGTGACTATACTTACCCAGGAGTTGGTTTCTATCACAAGATGCAACAGAATAATGAGGATAAGTGCTGTCATGATCGTCGTACCGTACTCCCATATTCCAGCATTCTCTGCTGTGTAGGCCTGGAAACACAACACACACTCATCACCATTGTGTACCTATCCTGTCCATACTGGATAACTCTGACTTGTCACTGATGATGTCAACAGTATCACATCCGTATCACGATATCACAGCTGTATCATCATGATATCATGTCAATATATCACATTTTTGCCGCAATATTTCTTATCCATATTGTGTCATGTGTCACCAGGAATGGCAACAGGAAAATCTATTTTCAGATGAAAACCTAATACTGTGTCATTGAAAGTGTGTGTGTGTGTGTGTGTGTGTCTGTCTGTCTGTCTGTCTGTCTGTCTGTCTGTCTGTCTCTCTCTCTCTCTCTCTCTCTCTCTCTCTCTCTGTGTGCGTTTTGTTTTTTTTTTCAGGGGTGTCGACTCTGAAATAAAATCAACGGCAAATCAGGGCCTGATGTGTTCTGAAATAGAACCTGATGTTTTTAAAATAAAATTGACGGAAATCTGCCGATCAGAGGAATTTGCCATCACTGCATCACTATTTCAATATTTCAAGGATATATCAATGTGACATAACAGATCACATCATGATATCACAGTTATATCACATCACAGTCATATAATAATATCAGAGTTTTCAATCATCAGGACATTACAGTTAGAATACATCAGGCCCTATGATGTTATCATAGTCTTAAATCATCATAATATCTCAGTAACATCACATCAGAGTTATAATTGTCAATATCTAATCTGAAGCCCATTTCTGGTGTCCCCCGCCGTGATGTTGCTGGAATATTGCTAAAAGCGGCGTAAAACCAAACTCAGTCAGTCAGTCTGTATTATGATATAACAGCATGAGTGTAGGCATGGAGATTTTACACCGCTTTTAGCAATATTCCAGCAACATCACGGCGGGGGACACCAGAAATGAGCTTCACACATTGTGCCCATGTGGGGATTCGAACCCGGGTCTTCGGCGTGACGAGCCAACGCTTTAACCACTAGGTTACCCCACCGCCCCATTTGTTTTACTGTTTTAGTTAGTGAGTGAGTTTAGTTTTACACTGCTTTTAGCAATATTCCAGCAAATTCACAGTGGGTGACACCAGAATCATTTGACAACACAAGTAGTTACATAGCCTGATGTTATGGTCTACACATCTTCTGACTGCCAGTACAACGTCCTACTTCAACATACGAAACTCACTTCTCATTTAACAATTCCAGTAGTTTGGAGGCCTGTATATATGGTCTATATGCTATCCCCTAGATAGGACCGACAGCATGGTTTCACCTGGGGCAGAACACTCTACTTCTATCGATATCAGGCCAGTTCTTCAGTTAACAACTTCAGTAGTTCAGAGGCCTGTATATATGGTCTATATGCTCTCCCCCAGACAGGACTGAAAAGGATAGGGGGTTCTCCATTCGTAACTACTTGTGTCATTCCGGCAAGCCGCAAACGGGCACAGAGATGAAAGTAGTGTAGGACTATTTACAAGGAAAGATAACTCTGAATATCAAAACACGGCTACTCCTAGCAATTTATAATACAAATAAGTATTAAATAAATTTCTTATGTCATTAACAAATATCAGTAACAAGATAAATATATATTCACAGAAATAATAATGAAAATAGATGATCGCAAAGAAACTATTTGACCTCATTTCACATTTTACTACGCGTGATTTGATTGGTTTGCCACAATTCTTGGCAATAATGGCATACTATACAGGTACGAGTATTCTTGCAGGTCACGGAAAGAGGCGAGTAGTTACGAATGTAGCTTCTCCACACACCAGGAAACCTCTACAGGCAGTGCCTGTCTGTCTGTCTGTCTGTCTGCCTTCCTGCCTGAGGAGGGCGGTCTGCACTTTATCACTTTTCTATCACCACTCATCTTTTGCCACTGGCTATGAGGATGTTTTATGTCAATAAATTAGACTTAAGTGTCATTTTCTTGCAAATGTTCTTTTTAAATAAAAGGAAAATAATGATATTAAAATTGTACTGATGAATGGGAGGTCAGTGATGATACTTTTGGACAGATAAGACAGAATATGGAGAGATCTCACTTTAATGTCCTTTGATACAAATATATCAAGGAGATCCTGATACAATGAAATTGCATCATAATACATTCAGGCCACTGTGACATCATCAGTTAGCATGAAGTCACAATCAAAGTCACTAATCTCTCTGACACATGGGTGAGATTCATTACAAATCCAAAATTCATTCCTCAAATTTTAATCAGTTTGTAAACAGCCAGTGTCTGGAGTGTAAAATTTATCATAAAGTCATTTTATTGTGATATCTCCAAAGACAACAGTTTCAGATGATAAAAGGGAGAGTTTGTTCACTGGCACCAGTACACCACCAGATCTATCTATGTGCCAAGTTTGGTGAAGAAATAGTGAATGGTTTTAGAGTTCAGCTCCGGAAAAGAGCACTATCACTAATTTCATTCTAAGTCGAACTTGCTGCCATGGAAACACCAAAAATGTTTTATTCAGAATTCCAAAACTACCAAAAGGCAAAAGTACACCACCATATCTATGTATGTGCCAAGTTTGGTGAAGAAATAGTGAACGGTTTTAGAGTTCTGCTCCGGAAAAGACAAATGTGCATGGACGGACGGACGCACAGACAGAGTCCATTTTAATACCCCCACCCCACCGCAAAACGCGTTGCGGGGGATAATTAAATGTACTCGTCATATATCTTAATATTGTGTGCAAAACATATAACTTCTTTATTCCATATGAATAATATTTAGGTTCACATTTGGCTTTATTTGATTTATATGATACAACAGTGTCGCAATTTCTAATAGCTAAGCTAATGTTTTCAATATGATGATGCCGACTCCCATTAGACTAGAAGGTTAAACCGAAATGTTTATGAAAATAAACTGTTTTTATATTGCTGCAATCAAAATTCACTGAACCGTAAATGTAGTTATTTTAAGTCGTCTGCGAACTGGCTGTCTGCGTAATGGGAGGAAACGTTTCATAGAGATGCTCCATTTCAATGTTTAAATGTAGCCAATAAAAACTGGGAAAAATACTAACAGCAAATTTGTAGGAGGGTTGTGACCATAGTGTTGTCATAGTGTCTGGTTGCTGTAAGGCTCCTGCATGGACAATTAGGAGATAAATGTCATGTGTTGGCCAATTTCCGGGTGTTATCGAGTATTTGAAGCACGGGAATTCATTGGAACGGACGGCATTAGCCGGAGGTTTCAAATGAAATATTCCCATGCTTCAAATATTCAATAACACCTGGAAACTGGCCAACACATGATAGTTATCGACATTGTAAACACAAAAGTAAACCAAAAGGTCCAGACACGTTTTTGTGTCTGCACTTATTGACATTGAGTAGGGGTACAGTAGTGAAAGGGGTACCGTTTCAGCAGTCTCCCATGGTAGCATCTGGAAGAGCTACTTGTGATGTCATTTGGACTTTACGTCACATTATGATTTGAATGATGTCACCACTACAATACAATGGTGTGTGTGCGATGTTTGTATGTATTAATACGCATCGAATGGTCTTGCAAATTGCAGGAATCGAATACCATTCTATCATGTTTTTCAACCATTCAGATTACAAACACTGTGACTTTTGGTTTACAATGTTGTATAATAGCACTGTGATGCTGTACTGTAGGTGGTGTTGGTGTATGCTTCGATGTACAATAAAGGGTGGGCGGTTGCTGTGACACAGCGGGTTGAGAGTTGAGGGGTGAGGGTTGAAAGGTGAGAGTTGAAGGGTGAGGGATGAAGAATGAGGGTTGAGAGTTGAAGGATGAGGGTGGAAGGGTGAGGGTTGAGAATTGAAGGATGAGGGTGGAAGGGTGAGGGTTGAAGGGTGAGGGATGAAGAATGAGGGTTGACAGTTGAAGGGTGAGGGTTGAAGGGTGAGGGTTGAAGGGTGAGGGTTGAAGGGTGAGGGATGAAGAATGAGGGTTGAGAGTTGAAGGGTGAGGGTTGAAGGGTGAGGGTTGAAAGGTGAGGGATGAAGAATGAGGGCTGAGAGTGGAAGGGGTGAGGGTTGAAGGGTGAGGTTGAGAGTTGAAGGATGAGAGGGTGGAAGAGGTGAGGGTTGAAGGGTGAGGGATGAAGAATGAGGGTTGACAGTTGAAGGGTGAGGGTTGGAAGGGTGAGGGTTGAAGGGTGAGGGTTGAAGGGTGAGGGTTGAAGAATGAAAGCTGAATGAGGGAGGGATGAGAGTTGAAGGATGAGGTGTGATGAGAGGTGGGAAGTGAAGGCTGGTTGGGGTGCTAGGTGTGACATATACTAGGGGAATACGTAGAGAGTTGGGTGTTAAGGGTTCGTTGGCTGAAGATGTCTACATATCAGATTATTTAATGTCTACTTGTATTACTGAAACATGTTAAAACATTATAATCTGAGTGCAAATAGCCCTGTTAAGATAATAATTTTCCTAGAAAGTGTAGCAACATTACAAGACTCCCAAACTCACTGGAAGAGATCAAATATGTTAAACACAATTTCTCCTCATTATTTCTGTATGACACATAATATAACATAATTTGTTTTGACTAAGTGATTATGTCAAGATTGAATTTGAATTTGTTATGAAACATGAATCTAAAAACGACTAATATAAGATAATTTTTCAGTTTGATTTGTGAAATCATAATTTGATCCTGGACAACAAGTAGGCCTGAATATTAACAATAACAATGGAACAGATTATGCAACAAATCATTTGAACTTTACTTCACTATGTCCTTCATCCACTTAATCATTAAACATATTATGTAAATAACCTTTACGGAACAAAACTAGAACAATGATGACAACGTCACTCCCAGGGAAAATCTTTCGGACGGTGTAATGTTCCACATCATAAATGCCTCTATTGACAACCAGCCCCAAATCTTGGGAACAGCTTAAATATACTGATTGGGCTTTTTCTATATAGAAAATTAATGCCCTTAATCTTCAGACAATTTAACGAAATATTTACTACAAACACAATCCATAGGAACATACTCCTGAACACTGACCAAACACTCAGTGTTGTTAGAAAATGTAGATACAATTGATTTTCAATAGGGACTCGTCCGTTTTGTGTTTTTTTATTTACGTTAGTTTACACAACATCTCGCCAGTGCCATTGTGTTAACTGCAGTGTGGTGCTGTGATTTGCCAGATCAAGCTGTGATTTATCTACCAACACATTGTATCCAGTGACAGTGTTCTCTGGCTTAGTTCTGAAAGGAAAACCAAGTTCTATGGATATCCAACAACGGTGTTGGTATCTACACCGAAACGCCGCATTCATTGCAATAAGGAAGTTGACTATCCACAGAACTTGATTTTCCTTTATCTTTACAAGTTCTAAATTGCTACTCAAAGTAGTCTTGAAAGGGCACTTTGGCACCAACTGTTGTTAAGAATAGTTAAAGCGTATATATTATTCTCATTTGGGAGAACAGTGAAAGACAGCAGGTTTTCTACTAGCTTTACATACACATGAAACTGTATTCCAATAATTTATTATAGTGGGTGAGTTGGGTTTTAAGCCGCTTTTAGCAAAATCCCAGCAATATCATGGGACACCATAAAAGGGCTTCACACATTGTACCCATGTGGGGAATTGAACCTGGGCCTTCGGCGTGATGAGCGAATGCTTTAACCACTAGGCTACCCCACCACCCCTGACTTATTATATCATACATTACTACTACCACATGTAATGGATACTAATGGTTTTCAATTGGGTCAATATTTGTTGTTGTTTTTTAAATCTAAGCTTCATCCATTTCAAAACAGTAAATTGTTACGGGTTTTTTTTAAATGAGGGTTACCAATAATAATGGCTCGTACATTATTTGTAATAAATGTCTAGTTATTTTTTTGTGTAATCCAAAACAAAATTGTCCGAGCTATCCTGTATTTACCCTCAGCACAGCTATGTGACTTACCAGGTGAGCTATGAAGTTGAGGACGGCACTCTGATAGACAGAGAGTTCTGACTACCCATATATACCCTCAGCACTGCTGCCAGGTGAGCTATGAAGAAGAGGAAGGCGCTCTGATAGACGGAGCGTTACGACTACCCATATATACCCTTACCACTGCTATGTGACTTACCAGGTGAGCTATAAAGTTGAGGATGGCACTCTAATAGACGGAACGTTATGACTATCCATATATACCCTCAGTACTGCTGCCAGTTGAGCTATGAAGTAGAGGAAGGCACTCTAATAGACGGAGTGTTCTAACTACCCATATATACTCTCAGTACTGCTGCCAGGTGAGCTATTAAGTAGAGGATGGCACTCTGATAGACGGAATGTTATGACTACCCATGTATACCCTCAGTACTGCTGCCAGTTGAGCTATGAAGTAGAGGAAGGCACTCTAATAGACGGAGTGTTCTAACTACCCATATATACTCTCAGTACTGCTGCCAGGTGAGCTATTAAGTAGAGGATGGCACTCTGATAGACAGAGCGTTATGACTACCAATATATACTCTCAGTACTGCTGCCAGGTGAGCTATGAAGTAGAGGAAGGCACTCTGATAGACGGAGGGTTATGACTACCCATATATACCCTCAGTACTGCTGCCAGGTGAGCTATGAAGTAGAGGATGGCACTCTGATAGACGGAGCGTTATGACTACCCATATATACCCTCAGTACTGCTGCCAGGCGAGCTATGAAGTAGAGGATGGCACTCTGATAGACAGAGAGTTATGACTACCCATATATACCCTCAGTACTGCTGCCAGGTGAGCTATGAAGTAGAGAATGGCACTCTGATAGACGGAGGGTTATGACTACCCATATATACCCTCAGTACTGCTGCCAGGCGAGCTATGAAGTAGAGGATGGCACTCTGATAGACGGAGTGTTATGACTACCCATATATACCCTCAGTACTGCTGCCAGGCGAGCTATGAAGTAGAGGAAGGCACTCTGATAGACGGAGGGTTATGACTACCAATATATACTCTCAGTACTGCTGCCAGGTGAGCTATGAAGTAGAGGAAGGCACTCTGATAGACGGAGGGTTATGACTACCCATATATACTCTCAGTACTGCTGCCATGTGAGCTATGAAGTAGAGGATGGCACTCTGATAGACGGAGTGTTATGACTACCCATATATACCCTCAGTACTGCTGCCAGGTGAGCTATGAAGTAGAGGAAGGCACTCTGATAGACGGAGTGTTATGACTACCCATGTATACCCTCGGTACTGCTGCCAGGTGAGCTATGAAGTAGAGGAAGGCACTCTGATAGACCGAGTGTTATGACTACCCATATATACCCTCAGTACTGCTGCAAGGTGAGCTATGAAGTAGAGGATGGCACTCCGATAGACGGAGTGTTATGACTACCCATATATACTCTCAGTACTGCTGCCAGGTGAGCTATGAAGTAGAGGAAGGCACTCTGATAGATGGAGCGTTATGACTACCCATATATCCCCTCAGTACTGCCGCCAGGTGAGCTATGAAGTAGAGGATGGCACTCTGATAGACGGAGTGTTATGACTACCCATATATACTCTCAGTACTGCTGCCAGGTGAGCTATGAAGTAGAGGAAGGCACTCTGATAGATGGAGCGTTATGACTACCCATATATACCCTCAGTACTGCTGCCAGGTGAGCTATGAAGTAGAGGATGGCACTCTGATAGACGGAGTGTTATGACTACCCATATATACCCTCACAACTGAGTTTGAAGAGTGCTCTCTGACAGACGGAGCATTCTAACAACCCATATATACCCTCACCAAAGACATGTGACTTACTAGGTGAGCTATGAAGTACAGCACAGCACTCTGATAAATGGCATCCAGGAGGACCATCAGGAATGTCCAGTTAGTGTACATCTGAAACAACAAATGAGATACATATGTATTCAGAATAATGAGTGAGTGAGTGAGTGAGTGAGCAGGTAAAGTACAGCAATGCATTAACACGTATTCTAGGGTTGGTCGGTTGGTTGTTTAACACCGCACTCAGCAATGGGAGAGTCATTGAGATAAGATTTTTATCATAAATGAGTTGCGACCCCTTCACGTACAGGTAAGATCTTTACCCGTACAGGATCTTTAATCACTCATGCTAGCCTGTTCTAGACTGTGTGCATGGACTTTCAAACTAATACTTTTCTTTAGTAAAAGTTATCAACAAGTCAACGTGATAAAGGGTGAGATTTTCCAACTCAGTGCCTTTGTGGAGCCGTTAGTAGCTGTGCTAGAGGTTCATAGGCATCACTTGTAAGATGACGTAGAATTACATCCAAATCCCAGGCCGGAGCTCTGAACTTCTTTTGATGGTCTTCCAGTTTAAAAGATCTCAGCAGAGCAAGTAATTATGGTACTCTTGTCAACTTGATGCCTATTTTCATGGTAATCACTGTACTGATGGCGGCGAGGTATGTAGATAATGTTGAACCTTTCAGATGTCTGGTCTATCTAAGATGGCACAGGTATTCCGCCACTTGAGGATGAGTAGCTTTCATCGTAATGAAGTCTTTCCGCCTTGCATAAGTCGATCTTCTATTAAGGCTGGTCACATGACTGTTTACGCGGGAAAAGTGGTGGGAGGTAACTCGTTGGTGAGTGTATTTTACGTCCGCTTCCAGGAACTTCGAAAATGGGGATTCAAGTGTTCCACTACCATTCGCAAGGAAAAGGGGAGATAAGCAAAAGATCATGGGTCAGGGTAAGAAAAATAATATATTTTCAACACATTAAACAATAACATAACCTCAATTTTCTACAGGCTATTTTGATGTGCTGCTTTAACTAGCAAAAAACATCCAAAAATTATCAAATCTACCAGCATCTGTATTTGGAAATATTCTGTCAACAACTAAATATCACATACATTTCGTTAAATGGGTGGGGCTCATTTATTTATAAATAAAAAACAAATACCTACTGAGATCTTGATGTGGTTGAAAGATTGACTTTTAAACATTCAGATACTGTGCATTTGCATATTAGGAAAGTAAATCTCGAGCTATAATCAATACTTGTCGGGTAAGTAGTATGTACAACATGCCTCCATCACCTGATAAGTCTTGGTGCAGACATGATATCTTACTGTATTACGTACACTAAATAAATAACACTTGATGTAATGCACTGAAGTCACATGAGCCCTTCAGTCTCCGATTTAAGTCCTCTTGAGGGAACGGTTATCAAGTTCTTTCTATCACACTGTCGGGACTGAATTTCGGTCTGAGAAGTCTGGTTATTCATCAGTTATCTCCTGATCGGTAGAGCAATGCCTCCGCGATTCATCCTTCTGCGAACCTGTATCCCTTCTCGAACCTCCATCATCCTTTCACGAACTGAAGATTCCTCCCTTCGCGAACGTCTATCTTGAGAGTCCTCTCTTCGCGAACCTCTATCTGTGAATTCATCTCTTCGTGAACCTCTGTGACGTGAGCCTACTCTTCGCGAACATCTGTCGCTAGATGTATCCCTTTGCGAACCTCTGTGATGTGAGCCTTCTCTTCGCGAACCTCTGTCTCGTGATGAGTGACTTCGCGAACGTCTGTGAGGGATATGAGATCTCGATCTAGAACGGCTAAGTTTAGGAGATGAATCCTTCGATGTTCTCGAACGTTGAGGGTTCGCAGATGTAGAACGGTGAGTAGGCATCTCATGTCTTCTATCCTCCTCCAAGAAGATAAAGTCGTCACACTGTGGAGACCGTCTTGAGACGTAGTTTTATGTGGCATAGGTTCGCACAGGTCAGTAGGTTCGCTCAGGTCCGTAGGTTTGCGCACGGTGTCAGTAGATGAGAGGCTTCGCCGAACCTTCGCTTCTTCCTCGAACCTCCGTTCCATCATAGCCATCATCTGGTTGGTGAATTGTCTCATAATTTCACCCAGATCAAGTTTTGCGTTGATTGAAGCTGCTGCGGTGTAGAAGAAGTGTTGTGTACGCTGATGAGTTGTGTGCCTCGACTTCACTCCGTTGATAAGTTGGTGATAGTTCGCCAAACAGCTGGCCTAATGTGACCATTGCAGGAGACTATCATAAAAAAACGTCTACTTCATGCGGAGGTATTATCTCTTCATGCGGAGGTAATATCTCTTCGTTGAAGGATTTCTGATGCGTTGACTTACTAGGCCGCGTAGATTTACCCTCCAATCTGGTAACAGATGCTTTCTTCTGCGACGTAGAAGACGACCTCTTTTTCTTAGCTTGAGTCGGAGTCAACTGTGTTGTAGCCAATCTCTTCTTGGCCCCCGTACCAGCAGGCTGCCCCTGCAACGTACTCAACATAGCACCAGTATTATGAATTTCAGCAGTAGCAATCAACATACGGTTTGCAGGCTGATCTCCTGTTTTATCAGCCGTGACTTGAAATGACTTCCTCATCCGATCCATGGCACGTCTATAGATATAAGACAAATATTGATTAAATTGTAGATTTGATAAATCAACACAATAAGTACAACGCAAGCTGGAAGAACATGGTTTTATGCACTAAAGGCATTGGGGGTGAGGATCTGCCATGGATAACCTGTGCCTGCAAACACTGCAAGATTTCATGAAATGTAAACAAAGTTATATAACGATGAAATTATGACACAAATACAAATAATTTTTACAATTTTTTTACATATAATACATAATAGTTATTGCCAAATCCATACACAGCATAATTTTGAAGGATAGGACCTAAATAAAAAGGATATAATGCCGTATCGGGTCTCCAGTGCTCGCCCAACCATCCAATTGGGCAAAAAGGGAGAGAGTGACAAGTAAGGCTGGTCACATGACTGTTTACGCGGGAAAAGGGAGGTAACTCGTTGGTGAGTGTATTTTTACGTCCGCTTCGGGAACTTCAAGGGAGTCAAGTGTTCCACTACCATTCGCAAGGAAAAGGGAGATAAGCAAAAGATCATGGGTCAGGGTAAGAAAAAACAATATATTTTCAACACATTAAACAATAACATAACCTCAATTTTCTACAGGCTATTTTGATGTGCTGCTTTAACTAGCAAAAAAACATCCAAAAATTATCAAATCTACCAGCATCTGTATTTGGAAATATTCTGTCAACAACTAAATATCACATACATTTCGTTAAATGGGTGGGGCTCATTTATTTATAAATAAAAAACAAATGCCTACTGAGATCTTGATGTGGTTGAAAGAATGTAATTTTCTGAATAAATTTGATATTTTATACTTATCCTGACTCATGCTATTTTACTTGTCTTCTTCTTCTTCTTGCGAACACAGTGGAACACTTGTATCTCCCAATTGAAGCTCCCTTCAATGTAAAATCACTAATTAGTACTCACCAAGAGTTGTCTCCTTCCCAACCATTTGCGCGGGAACGAGGGCGCCACCTCCCGCCACATGCCTCACTCTCTCCTTATATAGCGAGCCCAACACTTGAATTTTCAGGGAAATCCAAAGTGTTATGTGGTGAGGATGGGAGGCCTTACCTCATGAGTCAGGATAAGTATAAAATATCAATTTTATTCAGAAAATTACATATTTTACCTTATCCTGACTCATGCTATTTTGCTTGTAGAATCCTACGGATACAGAGGTGGGAATACAGAATACTTGGGATTTAGATAATTAGTGATTTGATAACTGTAATAACCCCTATGGGAACTTCATAAAGGCACTGAATTGATAAATTCCTGCTGTTAAACTGATCAGCTGCCATATATGGGTTACTACAATATATAGATATTATGATAAACATAAATAAGTATTTACAACATGAATACTAGGCTAAAGACTAATATAGACTTAATATAATAGCATAAACTTCATAGAGTTGTTAGCTAATGATATTATTATGATTTAACAGACATAGTACTAAGCTTAAGATTATGATTGAACTTAGGTTAAAATATATCATAGCATAAACTTCGTGGAGTTATTAGCTATATAGTACTGTTGTGAAATAAGCAGTAAAAATCTCATAAGATTGACTTATCTTCTCTGAGGGACTGTCAACCAAAATGGTGAATACCTGAGACGTCCTCGGTGGTGATATCTCAGATAGTGGTTGGCAAACACCATATCAGATCTCCAGAAGCAGCCCTCCATGATGGTTTTCAAAGAGCAATTGCCGTGTAGAGCAAGTGTTGAAGCTAGCGCTCTAATTTCATGTGGATTAGATGCTCTTGGAGGGTCGAGTCCTGCAGCCTTGTAGGCGCGTAGTATGACAGTTCTGATCCATATCGAGATAGTTGTACGTGAGACTTCAGTCTGTGTAGCTGTCGATAGAGGGATGAATAATCGTTTGAGTTTTTGTCGCCTCGGTTTGGATCGTCGTAGATATATGTTCAGTGCTCTGACTGGGCATAATGATAGATCCAGTGTATCATGAGGTCCGAGAATTGATGAGAGAGCTGGGACGTGGAATAATCTGTCTGGTTGACCTGGTACCTGGTTCTTGGCGATGAAATCCCAGCATAGTCCCATATGCACGATGTTATGATTGTCATCAAAGCGTGTTCTCTCGTAATCTAGTGCGTGAATCTCTGACATCCTGGCTGCTGTTGCTAGGGATAACAGGAACAAAGTTTTCTGTGTCAGAAATTCGAATGATGTTGATTCCAGTGGTTCATATGCCTCACTTGTGAGGTGTTGGAGCACTACATTTAGATCCCATGCTGGAGCTGCGAAATCTCTGTTTCTGATCCTCCAATCGGAATGCACGTAGTAAGGTGAGTAACTCTGGGGTCTTCGTCAACCTTACACCCGTTCTAATAGTTATGACTGAGCTTAAAGCTGCAAGATATGTTGATAATGTTGAGCCTTTTAGATGTTTAGTCTGTCGTAGGTAACATAAGTAGTCAGCCACTTGTGGATGTGTAGCATATCTAGCTGTAAAT